TAAAATTTATTACGTTCTCCATTCGAAATTATGGCGTTACCCCCCTGAAATAATATTATTTCCAACCCTGTAGGGCGATAAATATTCAATCGAAAACTAAAGTTTCTGTACACCATCATCGAAATCAACATCACCAACATAGAGATTATCGAAATGACGATCATCAAGATCAAGCATTGCTGACGGTGATATTGTCAAAACAGAAATTATCAAATTTCGGTGAATAGCATACTGACCAAACTAAGAGCTTCACATTCGAAAGATTTCTTGCAAACTGTTTATGAAACAGATGAATTTCATGTTCTAACTATTCTTAATCAAATGGTCTATTGGTATTAGATAGAACGGTTGATGTTCCTCGATAGCTTTATTAATAGATAAAAACATCAAAAATTGATGTAGACTTTAGGTGCTGTTGAATCAACAATCTGCATGATTGCTTATAAATAACATACATTTGAATGACTTTATTTCTAAACAATGAAACAATTATAATGATAGTAGAAATTATTTCATATACTATCACATATTTACATTAGATACTACCATTTAATACTCAATAATATATGAATTTTCTAACAGATAATGCATTGATATTAAAAAATACATAATTTATGATTCAGTTTCTTATATTTTTGGACTTTAAAACATATGAACAAGAATCTGCATTATTTAGAGATAGTCACATCTATACAAATGTTATTCTCCATTTAAATTTTTTTTCTTTTCAATAATACTTATGTAAAAGTTATTATTTAATTTCATAAATTTTTAAAATATACTTCAGCGTGTAGGCATTCTTTACATTTGAAAAACAGTCAACACCTACCAATATACAAGGTACAAAAAAGAAAGATATTCGTCACTGAATATTATAAACAACTTATTCATAAAAATACTTCTATGATTAAGACAACCTACTCATTGAATTTTTTCAATTCTATAGATTCTTCAACATATGTTCATAATGAAATATTTGAGTTTATTTCTATCGTTTTCCTAATCATTAAATAAATTTCATACAAAATATTTAATTTCATAAAACTCTATTTCATTTATATTGTTTGAATAATCATGCCAATTATTATTGATTATTGATTGTAGTTTCTATAAAGAGAATAGATACCAATAAAATCTTGTTTGTAGTTTGTAAAAACTTTAGAAATTTCAAAGAGTCATTTCATGTTGTAAAACACCATCTAAAAGGAGTGTTAAAGTGCACAAGTAAAAATTTGGAACTCCTCCTCCAAGCCGTGACAGACGCTAACCAAAAACCATCATAGACTGTGACATACATTAATCAGAGACTGTTCCAGATATTGTCAATATAAGATCACAGACTTTATATCAATAATGTCTCGTGTATGAACTATTTCTTTGTTGCATTTCTGAAAGAATAAGTATGAGTAAAAGCGTTTCAAGTTCGATGGAATACAGCAATCTCCTGTGATTAACAACAGCAGCTATATCGTGTTTTACATTTTAGTCCTACAGGGATTGTCTTCATAGCTTTTTACTACTTAGATACTTATCATACGTATTTTCTTATTAATATTCTCCATGAATGAACAAACAAATAAAAAAGGTAATATTAATGTCAAATAACAATGTCAATGTGTTTCCTTTGTTTTTTCTTACCTAAAAGTGTTTCAGATATGAAATGATTCAATGAACTTGTAAAAATTCAAATAAATAATAGCTGAAAACAATGTAAAGATGAGAAATGGATGCATATTATGTAGGTAGGTCAGTTTTCTTGTTATACAGCACTCAATATCAATAAATCCGTTTTTACTGTAAATTGGTTTTAAACTCATCTCATTAATAATTTCATTTTCTGTTTAAGTAAATTTCTATTTAAAATTTAGTATATCTTATTTACACATAGTTCCAGAAATGTATATAATATAAACAAAAGAAGAAAATTTATTGATATCATATGATTAAAATCTTTTTAAAGGTGATCTTCGCATATTTCATTACAATTACTGATGAAGCATAGTTCAATGTAGAATTGCAATAGAAGTGACATCTTTGATGGAAACAGATAATGTCTATGGAGATCATCTGATTTAAGAGCTATGTAAAATTCAACTAAATTCCATCTGGAATTAATTACAAAAATATGTTTAAAAATATTTACAATTTGAGTAATTGAAACGAACTGATTTCTTGTACATTCTGTTTTATAACTGAAATACTTTTCATGACGTACTTCTTTGTTTCCTAAAATAATTGAATGATTTCCATTCCAATGAATTTAGTCGATATTCTTACATGTTATTAGCGAGAAAAAGTTTTAGATTATTTTTATCGATTTTTACTGAAAAGAAATTTTTTTCTTCCAAGTTCACTTAGAACAAAATAGTCGGTATAACTAATAAGTAGTTTTTATTTTACAATCTAATTATAAATACAAATAGAATTCAACTGAAGAATTGATTGATCATTCGCATAAATTCATGTTTAATACTGGTAGAAAACTATAAATACTTATCATGACATAAAGAAGTCTACTTAAAGACGATCATTTCATTTGCAATCGCATTATTCATGCATTCATAAGAACAATGCCTTTGTTCTGACAAGTTTATCTATTATTCATACTTTGTTCACGGAGGTTGAAATATAGGGTCTTTGTGACTTATATAATTCTTTGTTAATTCATCATTTTTTCTTTCTGTTTTTTTTTTCTTCTATTAACTATTCTTTATTACAAAATATATACGAAGACAATGTGACTTATGCAAATTCTAGATATTCAGAATACTTCGTAAGAATATAATAACTTCACATACATTTAATAAATAAATTCATTTCTTTTGAGAGTACAAGCAAATATACTTCGATCGCCTTGTAAGTACATACTCTATAATCACTTTTTTTAAATGTGCTATTTAGCCTCTGGCATGTCCGAGAACTATGCCTAATGATATTTTATCATAAATTAAAATCCATTGTGACTAAATGTACTAATTATATGACAGAATAATAGCAAATATTCACCTTTCAAAAAGTCTATATTATTTCTTTCGTAGAATGGGTCACACGAATAAAAAACGACAGGACATTCATTTATATTTGAATTGAATACATAGTATCCTGCTGAGTAAACAATCATCGAATATTAATAACGTCAGCAAGTAGATTTTATTTTCTAGTTGAAGAATTCATTTTATAAAATATATTCGATGCATGTCAGTTTAGTGTAACATATTTGTTACATAAAAAGCGAATCAAATGTGATGACTGTTCTTTATGTATCACAGATAATTCCTTTTTTTTTCTTTAATCATTCATATACTCATTTTTTATACAGAACGAAATGTCGTCCATCATTTTGTATAATAAACAAATAATGAATTCGAATGAATCGTATCTTTTATAATTTCTTTTTTTCCGTATAAATACATGCAACAATTCTTAGTCACGCTAAGATGTTGCATTGCAACATATAGTTACTATCAGAGATAGATAAAAGTTGCTATTCTTTTATCATTTTGCTGAACAAATATTTGTTTGTATGTTCAATCGACGATGAAATTTTATTTTTGATTATTAATATTGGTTTTGTTTAATTTACAGCAATAAATATAGACTTCGTGTGTTTTTTTCTCTCTATTTCTTTTGTTTGTAATAATTATGTACGTATAATTGAGTATTTCAGATCTTTAAATCATGTTTATATTTCAATCCATATTCCTTACTTCAATTTTATTAATGATAAATGCTCAATGGTATATTAAAAAAAATCATCAATCAAAATTTATGAATTATCCAAATCCAGGTAAAAGAAGTTTACCTGATGAACAATCAATTTTTATTAAAACTGATTGTCAAATACCATATTCTCAACTACATTCATATCAACAAACAGCTGCATGGATTTTAATGTGTGGTTCTAAGAAATCAGCATTAAAAAATAATAAATATTCAAATAGCTTGGAATTTGAATTATCTTCTACACCAAAATTGATTCTATATGAAAAAAAATCTCCTAATATTGTAATACCATATTATCAAGATTATGACAATTCATTCAATAAGTATTTAATGAAAGTTGTACGACGTGCTAATACAAACAAATAGAAATAGTTTCAAGTCAAAAAAAACATATATGAAAATTCATCATTTACTGCACTATTTAATCATGTTATCTAAATCTTCTCAAATCTACATGTGCATTTAATTTCTAATAAATAATATGTACAAGCCTTTTATGCTTTTGTTGCTGCTGTTTGTTATTGAACAGTAAATACACATATATATGTTTTTTTTTTATTATATATTATTTGAAATTCTCTTTTTTTTTTATGCATATGTTTATCTTAAAATATGAATAAGGTAAAACACTGTTCATTTATCGTCAAACCAATTATGAGCTGAATCATCATGTAGACCATATACATGATGAAGTAGCATATCGTCATTATCATCTTCCGTTGTTAGATAATGACGTTTACCCCAACCTAAATTTCAAAAATATAAATATCAACAAATGCAAGTTAAAGTACTAATTTTAAACTTACCAGCTTGCCTTTTTCGTTCGGAATTTTGATGAAATGAATCATCTGCATAATAGCCATTATTTCGATAGGGCCAATAAGGTTTTCTTAGTTGTATTGTACGACCATCGATAGTTGTTTGACTTATAATGTAAAAACAAATGCTTAGAATGATAAACCAAAACTTCATTTTGAGCTTGCTATTTGTTAAGAAATCAACGGAATGAACTTAGAACTAATGTTCACGACACAAGAAAACTTTGAATAAAAGAAAAAAAACTAGAAAATCACTCGGTAGGCGGACAAGTCGGTGATTTGAATGCCCGCCCCGTCACCATCATTCACCGGGAAAAAGAGCGACAGATAATTGAATAAAATGAGCAAAAAAAAACGGAATACATTCTATGATGTTGACATTACGTATATATTTAGTAATGCTCTTTTCATATAAATATTGAAAAGGCTCTAGCTGAAATTTTGATTATCTGACGAGTTCGACGAAAATTATATATCTATATGAATATTGAACATGTTGTTCTTTTCATCATAGTGTATTCTCTATAATTATTGTCATTTATTCAAGGCTACAAACATATTCATCATGTATTCGCTTTACTTACTTCATTTACCGATGCCGAAGATCGCTAATCTTTCTTTTTTGACGTATATTTTATTTTCACAACCGATTGCACATGCATTGGAAAAAAAGGGAAAACAAAATCACTGTTTACATTATGATAAGAAAAAAACAATTATTGTTTATACAACTACTGTTGTTCGGTAATCATTTGCAATCGACGTAAAACCAAATGATCGCATTAAATCCATATAATCGTCAAAGAGTTTTTCTCCTATTGTACCATCATCAATACCAAATTGTTTACAACATACAAATAAACGCATTGCTAATTCAGTTGCACCTTGATTGTGTAAAACTTCAATAGCACGACGAAATTGTCCGCATGAGATTAATATTAAAGCTGAATTCATTTTTGATGTTTGAGAATAAAGACGAATATATTCAGACCATCGTTTAATAACATCAATATATTCATTTGAATTTGATTTAAGTCGTAATTTAGCTAACCATATTGAACGTTCCCATTGATTATGATCTTGTAAATATCGACATGCTTCAGCACATAAATCAATTGTACACAATAATTGTACACCTTCGTCAACTTTTCCATTAGCAATTAAATTAGTTGCAACTAATTTAGTAACAGTATTTTTTGGTGTTTCATTTGGTTGTTTTTGCATTGAAGATATAAGACATGCTTTTATACAATTTAATGCATATGTATCATCATTTGGATCTGAATCCAGTAAAAGTTGTACAGCACGATCAACTTGTTTAAGTGCAATATAAGAATCAATACAATGATTTATTGATGATGATGTTAGAGATTTAATATCACGACGTATTGTACGTTCTAATTGAATATGTTCAAATGTTTTTGAATCCAGAAGTAAATCATATGATGATAAAAGTGATAAGGGACGATTAGAATTTTCAATTATTGTACCATATTCATATAGATAGTATTCAGTTAAACGCCAAAAAGTTTGTTCCCATGAATCATTAAAAAGTTTAGCAATAAATAAACATCGATCAATGATTGACTTTGTATTTGTTAAATAATTTTTCGATTCACTAAAAAGAAAATAATTAATTTAATGATTGAGATTTTTAAGACAAAAAGAGAGTTTTTACGCATCAAGTTTTGAAAGTTCTTTTTCAAGTATTCCATTTAAATTTGTATCTTCACATTTTTTTATTAAATCATCCAATGATCCATTAGTTATACATAATAAATGTTTCAATAAATTAGCATGACGTGCTGTTATTAAATATGGATAAAGTGTACATTCTAAATATAAGAATGTTTTTTTTATTTAAAATCCTACTGATATCATTTTTAATTATGAATAAATGTAAATGAAGTTAACAAAATCCTCAAATCATTCATTTTTCATAGCTCTCGAAATAGATCAAAATGTCATATCTAAAACAATGAGTTTTTGTTATAATTATATTTTTTGGTCAATAAGCGCGACTGCCTCTCTCACAATTAATTTTTCACTTAATATAGCTCATTTGGGCTGAAATTAAGTGGAATGAGAGGGTCTAATCAGAAACGCTGCCGAGGAAAATTTTAACCAGATTTGTTAAATTAAAGCGAACTTCCGGCTTACTTACAGTTCATTTATGGCCTTGAGAAGAATTTTTATACCTTCACCATCACAAGAAATACGGAACTCAAAATGGCTTCTAATTAAAGTTAATACCTATGCGCAGTGTTTTGCCAGAACATAGCTTTGAAACTAGCTTCAGTTGAATTTTTTGTGATTATTCTAGTACATAGGTTGTTAAAATAAACAAAAAGACGTCATTTCATGACGCTAAATCTAGTTGTTCTCAACATAGAAATCAAATATAAAATATCTAATCGAACAAAAGTTTACTGTCATTTAGACTTTAGAAAAAAATCGGCTATATCTTGAGTCGGATGAAAATTATTTCAATTTTTTCTGATTGACAATCATGTTCTGAGTAAATCAGTAACTAAGTTTAGACATGATTTTTTTTTCAATCAAATCCAGAAAAAAAAACATCAAATGACATATTCGTAATCTATTTATATGGCATGCTAGCCCCACTTGTCGTGTATAGATAATATACAAAAAATTTCTTCAATGCTATTACCAGCAAAAAAGTAATCTTCAAAAAAAACAAAAGTACTACAAAAAATTCTCAGAAAATACGGTAGTAGAGTCGAAACTTCTTCCCAAAGTCTGTTAAAATTTGATCTTTTTTCCAAAAATTATATATATTCTGAGAAAAGAAACTTCACTGCATCTTCCTATGCTAAAACGTCAGCTTCCATTGTTTTTTCAATAAATCTGATTGCTGAGAGAGAGGCCTCCGTTAAGAAAAAATAGCTGAATCATGAAATCAAAACAAGATTTATTATATAAAAAAATTCTAGATTTCTGGTATGAGCGTGATTAAGAAAGACCCACACTCTAATATTTATTCTTAAATCGAGCTATGAACATTTTTCAATGTTCGACCACTCTTTTCTCTACTCTCGATTCTACTTTGCTGACGTTGTTTTTTTTTGCTTTGCAATTAAGAACTAGCATTCGCAACCAGGAAGATATGTTTAAATAAACGACTTCTCCGTAACATAAAAGATAGTCATTTTTATCCATAGAGACGATCACTATCGTTAAAATGTGTTGTCTAACTTTTCAATTTACATATGATTTGAATGGCTGCATTCTTGGTCTTTACAATAAATTTAATAAAATATTAAATCGGTAAAAGAGAAGATCTCGATCATGTTAGATTTCTTACTTAAAGATTTTTCAAATGAAAATTTTGAAGCTTTATGTAATTTTCTTTATATAGTCTTCCTACAGTGTGGAATTAATTAGGATAGTTAAACTCTTTGCTTTATTTATAGATTTTGAAAATTTTAACATACGTTGAATTTTTTGAAATTCAAGTGAACTTGATGAATCAACTAAATTCATTTCATAAATTCTTAAACAATGATCAGAACATGCTAAAATAATTTTATCCGAACTTGCCCAATCACCATCTGTAACTTGAATTGTATCACGTGGATATTTCAATGTACTGATACGATCTCTCTATCATATAAATCATTTATATTTTTATATACAAAAATATGAAAAAAATAAAATAAAAGAAGACATACATCTCGAATATCCCATATATCGACACCATCATTAAATAGAATGAATGCACGAAAATTGCCTTTACCAGGTGCAAAACGAACTTTACGAATAGGACTTCGTTTTGTATTAAATGTTCTTATTAATCGAACAAGAAGAATGTTTTGGTTATTATGGAAAAAAATATTTCTTACTTGCTCTGTTTAAGTTTTATATTAAATATTTGTATGATACCATCGACATCACCAGAAAGAAGATAATCACCTTTTAATACTAAAATACGAATTTTGTTTTATTAAAAAAATGAAAGAAAAATAAATAAATGAATTTACCTAAATCAGTGGCAGCTGATGATGAATGCTAAAATTAAATTAAATTAAAAAACAAGATAAGAAAAGAGAAAGAAAAAAAAAATTTTAAAATACATCTGGTGGAACAGTTGCAACTTCTTTAATTGTTCGTCCTTCGACGTAAAAATGATATAATAAATTATATTCATCAGTAAATATAAAATTTTCACGTGATAATTTTTTATCTTGATCAGTTGAAGTATTTCTATTAAAAGAAATCTTTGATTTATGAAATAGAATCAGGTTTTTCTTTCATACTCAGATTCATGTGAAGGTCGATTAGGATCGCGTTCAGATTCATGACTATTATGTGATTTAGTAGAAGATGATGTATCTGTTTCTGTAGATGGTTTTTTGATAACTATAACATTCGACGACCAATCCTAAAATAATAAAAATATTAAAAAAAAACAAAGATTTTTTTCTTGAAACTTAAAATACCAATGCTAAAATCCTTGGACATTTTTTTGGTAATCGCCGAATTAGTGTAAATGATTTAAGATCCCATAATTCAAATGGTTGATCACGAAAAAGAATAATTAAATAATTTCTTTTCATAAAACAAAAGGAAAAAACAATTTTTTTCATTATATTTATTTAAAATTCACAAACTTTGACTGTGAAGCTTTTAAACTTTCAATTGGTGATTCTTCGTGTGTTATTTCAGATCGAAATGGTTCTTGCCGTCCTATATAAAAAAAAGAATAGATTATTTATTTTAGTATACTTCAATAATAATCAAATAACCTGATTGAAAATGAATCATAAATATTTCATTACGCACTGTTGAGCGACCATCACCAGGTATTTGATATGCCCAAGAAAGAATTATTTGGTTAGATAGCCAAATTAATCCACTATAAAAGCAAACTTTAGTGTAAATACATTACGAATTCTTCTACTGTATTCCATCTCTTATACTAATGTCATTTCTACAATTATGAAATAATAGGTTAGATTATTTGTCTCATTGAAATCTGGTTACAATGTTGAATACATACAAAAAAAAAATGATAATGTATGTCATTTACGGAAAAATAAGAGGACATGAATGAATGAATCGTTAGTGTTATTTCTTCTATAGACATCAATGAAATTATTTCATTTGCTTTTGTTTTAATTGAACCTCTGACTATCGACCACTAAACGTATTTAGCTCTAGTCTGTAGAAAATCTGATATAATCTATAGGCGAAAATTTTGGCAAAAAATATCTATTCATTTTTCGGTCTTTTAAAGGCAACTTGTTCGATCTATATACTTTCATTAAAGAGTAAGTTTCTATGAAAATAACCGTTTGGTGTTTGAAAGATTGCTTTTAAAAATATAAAAATTTTGAAATCTGCCGTCAAAAAAAAATAAATATCACACTTTACAAAATGAACAAAACTTAGTCGTTAAAAATAGTTTTACATTTTGACTTTGATAAGTTTCAATCGAAATACAAAACTGACCGAAATAATATTCTGTATAACTACCATTCTCAATACATATTCGATATGGGCGAATAGTTTTTGTTAAAGCTTTCACATCATTGGTTATTTAATTTCTATTAAAATAATATAAAATCCTAACACGTACCGAACAGTACATGAATGAACAGCTAATTGTCGTTGAATAGTCCCATCCGTAAGATCAACGAAAACAATATCTCCATTTGTACAACCTAGAAATCATTTTCGAAATAATAATATGTCATGTTAATTTTTTTCTTTTCATTACCAATAGCTAATAATGGTCGCCATTCTTTCAAATTTTTTAAAGTTATTGATGGACACATATTTAATACATATGGACCAGGTGGAGCAGAAAACATAACTCCACCTAATGGAATACGATTATCAATATTTCCTTCATTATTTGTGTCAATATTTGATAATGTTGAAAAATTTTTCTGATCAATATTCCAAAATAAAACTTTTCCATCAGTAAGAATAACACTTATCGATGTTTCATCTTTAGGTGATACAGAAAATGAACAAATACGTGTATTTTTTACTAAACGAAATGGATCAGAATAATAAACAAGATCATAAGTTAAATCAATAACAAATTCATGTAATAAACCTACAAAAAAAAAGATTACAAATGAAAATGATAAAAGAAAAAAAAATTCTTAATTATACTTTTAGTAGATTCAAGTGCTGTTATAGTACTGTTTTCTAAATGTCTATGTCGTACACTTATTGTTCCACTTTCATGAAAACATATAAATGTATCACGTAGATGACAACCATAAATCTATGTGAAAATGTAAATTAAAAATTCGAATAAAAAAAGAAAAGAAAAAACCACAAACTTTATAAAATGCTGCTGAAGTTTTTTCACATAAAATATTTCCAACAGTTTGTAAAATTTGTAAATCAAATATTAATATTTCACGTGGATAAACAATTAATATTAAATGACGATGTATTGGATGAAATAAAATTTGTATACAATCATTTAAACTAACAACAGCTGATGATGATTGATCATCTTGTCTACGGAAAGGAAAACAACTTTTTTTTTACTATTAAAAAAAAAATAAATCTTTACTTCGAATGTTCACTTCCTTCAATAATTGTTTTAAGACGTGTTGTTAATTGGCTACTTGTTGATGATATTGAAGTAATCGATGATGCTCGACCATGATTACTAGATTTTGGACTTTGTTGTTTATTACTATTTGTATTATTATTATTATTATTATTATTATTATTATTGTTATTTGTATTAGATATATAAAATCTTCGATTTTGACCACTCGGAGTATTTATTGGTGAAAAATCTTCAATGAATGTTAAACTTGATTGACCAAGTACTAAAAGCAAAACAAAAAATTTTCATATAATTTTTTTGTTTGAATTCAAAATTTCATTTACAAATTGCTCGTTGATGATTAAATGGATCTTGAATAATTTGTAAAAATGATTCTGTATCTCGTTGTCGTTCATGATCATAAACAACACGCCAAACTTTTGTACCTGTTTGTGTATTCCATAATGTTACAATATTAGGTAAATGAATTACAAGTAATAGTTGTGAATTATTTTCAGACGAATACCATATCATATCTAAGCGAAAAATTTTAAAAAAATGAATTTTTAATTAGAGACAAAAGAAAATTATTTATTAAAACCAGATATTAATCTATTTCCATCACGAAATTCAGCTTGTACAGAAGATTTATAAACATCCCAAATTAAAATATTTCCAGTTGAATCTGCACTAGCTAATTTTAAGCTATATGGATCTTCTATATTATGATAAAATTTATCCGGACACCATTTAACCTATTTAAGAAAAAAATATATTTGAGAAAAAAATACTGATTAATTATAATAAATGTTATTTTAAATACTTTAATAATTGGATCATGATTTTTTTCCATACATTGAAGAACCTATAAAATGATTAACAATACAAACAACATTTTTATTTTTGAGCAAAAAACAATCCAATACTCGAAATGTTTGTGTATCAAGTACAACAACAGTTGATTGACATCCATATGCAAGAAGACCATGATAATTCCAATCAATAGCATCTTTATTTGCATTATTTAATGCTCCGGGAATAATACGAGATACGAGATTCATTGCTGTTTTTTTTTAATATTATTTCTATGTTAAACACATTAGAAAAAGGAACATATTTCGACAAAAGAAAAGGTATTAATCGATGAATCATACACATCCAATTAGATCTTGAGCGCTATGTTCGCAGAGATAATCGTTTGAAAAAATTTTCCCACATTTTATATTTTTAACATGACTCTAGCAAGAAGAAGTCGAACTGCTATGGATGTATTAAAATCTAATATTGAATACATTTCAACATATTCAAAAAAAATTGATGACATGCTTGGTAAAACAAAAATTTATTCTATAGAATCCTTTTGTTTTTTGATTTTTTAAAGATGGTGGTATTCCTATTGGTGTTGTAACAGAACTATGTGGAAATCCAGGAAGTGGTAAATCAAATTTATGGTTTGTTTAATGAATTATTTCTTTCATTAAATTGATTTTTAAAAAATTTTTATTAGTACTCAATTATGCATTTCAGTACAAATGAAATATGGTATAACATCAAATGAGATCGGAACAGTAATTTATATTGATACAGAAGGAAGTTTTGTACCTATACGTTTACAAAATATGGCAATGGCTGCTGAAAATCATTATAAAAATGTAAACAAAAATTTTATGAATACAGATTCCATTGAACAATTATTAAAAAATGTCACATATTTTCGTTGTATAAATGTAGCAGAATTAATTGCTTGTCTTATTCAATTAAAACAAATTATGACACCAGAACGTAATGTTAAATTAATTATTCTTGATAGTCTTGCACATCCAATTCGAAGTATTATTGATGGAAATCATTTAACTCGTCATAAATATATCGTTAGAATCGTTACTATGTTACAAAAATTAGCTTCAGAAAATAAGTGTGCAGTAAGTTTAGATTGTCATTTGAATTAATTGTAATTAAGTTTTATTAGGTTGTTATTGTTAATCATATGATAGCAAAAGTTGATTCATCAAAAAATGAAGCATATTGTGCTCCAGGTAGTTTAAATTCAAAAGGAAAATAAATATACGTATATAATGGGCCATAAATGACACTACAATGAAAAATTGAAATATTTCCGTTTTGGTTAGTAGTAGAAGCTGATATACAGATGACGTAAACAAATATCACTCTTAAATTATGTCTTTTTGACCGCACTAAAGAACTTTCAATTACTGTCAATCATGAAAAATATATATGAACCGTTTCACAGATAATTTTCGGTTGTCATTTAAGAGAATTAGAAAACATCAAAACAACCTCATAAATAAAACGCACGATTGCAGTCCATTTGGCACCAAATAGAGTCTGTTGCATTATTTCGAGTCCGAAAATTTTGAACCCGACATGCTCTAGTACCAAAGCACCAACTTCTTTGCAAAAACAAATATTCTATGTTTGAAAAATTCAAAATTTTGTAACCGTTGACTTTTAAATTATCTAGCTCTGAAAATTTGCTCTATGTGCATTAAAATAATGTCTCATTCAAAAAGTTTGTTTTGAATTCTTTTTATTATTCTCTTAGATGACAACTGAAAATTATGCATGAAATGTCTCATATGTATTTTTCTTGATTAATCACAACTAAAATGCCTTTTATGATTCGAACCATAGCACTTAATAGTAGAATTTGCTTACTGTATATGTATTTATATTTGTACGAATAACCGAAAAATCAGCCTATGCAAATGAACCAAAGAAGAGATAGTTCATTATTTTTATCGTAGAACTATTTATGGTCTATCATGTAAGAATTTAGTTTAATATTTAAATAGCTCTTGGCGATGCATTTGGTCATATGTCTCAATTACGAATACAACTTTCATGGAAAATGAATAAACGAGAAGCTCGTGTGCTTAAATCGCCTCATTTACAGGAATTATCAACATTTTTTCAAATAACTGTAAGCATGTATTTAAACTAATTGCCTCCTGATACACGATCTTTCTGCTTATCTATGATGAGCCTAAAATGTCTTTACGATAAAAAATTTAATTATGTTCAAAGTTTTTCTTATATAAGAAAATCATTGATGAACGCTGATTCCAATCGGTGACATTTCACGGGTTCAGAAAAAGAAAGAAGTGAAGAATAGTTTATGCATATTTTTATGATTTACATTTCGAATAGCAGCAAAAAAAGTCAAATTAACCTTGGTTCAACAAGTACAAATGATGCAAATGCTCAAAACGATGTCCATTAGTGTCAACACACTGTTACAGTCTTTCAGAGTATGGACGTCAGAGAATAGAAGAGCCATATTCGACGATAAAAAGTTGTGGTCATTAGTGATTTCCTTATAGAACAAAACATTTTAAAAATTCTTCTAATATTGATGAAAAGATTAGTCTAATATTTTTAAGTAGAGTGAAGACATTCAAATTTTTTATCGTAAAAATGTCTATGGCCAACTCTATATACGAAAACTCATCAATAAATTGTTTTTAGGATGATGGTATTCGTGACATAGATGAAACTGAATTAATGGATCATAGTGATTATAATTCAGCATCACAAGAAAACAAACATCCAATTTCAAATATGTAGTCAACATGGGGATGTAGCTCATATGGTAGAGCGCTCGCTTAGCATGCGAGAGGTATTGGGATCGATGCCCAACTTCTCCAGTTCTCTTTTTTTCTCTTGTTCCTTTCTCGCGCCATATGTTGCAGTAAAATTATTCAGATAATTTTTATTTTATTTCTACTTAAAATGACAAAAGTTCAAATGACAACTATAAGATAATAACATAGATCGCTTGTTCTCTCTTTTATTCAAATAACAATAAACCAGCAAAGATTAAGTTAAAATTATTTTAATGTTCTTAAATATATATGATGATAAAAAAATGTTTATTTTCTTTGATTAAACATATTCATATTTATCGACGATGAGCTGTGATTCACTTGAATATGTAACTGATTTACGATCATCAACAGATTTAACATCAGCAATCTAAAATAAAAATAATTGAATGTTTTCTTTAATTTTTTCTTTTTGACGTTACTTTAATATCACAATACGATGTTTCAGCTACAAAATCAACTTGAATTGGAAAAAAATCAGCCGATTTTCCTCGAATTGAAAATTCTAATGATCCTTCAGAATTTGATTGATCAATAACAGGTAATGTCCATATTAATGTTGTTTTTCGATTATCAAATTGATAATCGCCATCAATTTTTCCAATAACTGGTGTGTGTCCACCACTCCTTTAAAAAAAACAAATTAAGAGAATTTTAATTTCCTTGTTTATAGTATTATTCTTACGGTAACGGCACACTTATTTGTACATCTTTTAAGACGAGATTTCTATTTTGTAACTCATATTCAATATTAACATCACAACCACCATTTGGTGTTTCATTGGGCCAACAATTAACTATAAAAAAAAAAAGTTGAAAAAAGACATTTATTTGAAAACTCTTGTTACTTGTAAGTGGAATTTCTTTTGAGTCAGTTGATGTATAACGCCATTTAAGTACGCCAACTTCTTGATTAACTGGAAATGGTCTATCTGCATTCTTTAAACCGATTAATGATTCATTAGTAAATAATTTTTTATCAATATTGGGATGTGTCTATAAATATAAAACCCATAAAAGAAAATTGAATTTGATTACAAAAAAAGTGATATCGGCGCGTTTTGTCAACAAGTTAAGGCTTAAATAATTAAGGACATAATCAGTATACGTGGTTTTTTAGACAGTGATAGGGCGCTGTAAAAGTGAAACACTACTAGTGCATTATAAGTAATGATTCAAACGAATAGAGTTGTAGGACAGGCTTCAAAATGGGACGCTCAGCTCTTTCTAGAGAGATTTTCCTTCAAAATCTCTTACATAGATTTTACATCTCGCAACTAGGAATATCGTGAGTGTTTCTGATGTAGAACAATGTAACTAAACATAGTAACTGATCTGACTATTTGAAATTGATCAGCGAGCATTTGAGTCATGAAAGTTTATGTTGATAAATAATAGACTTCAAGAAGTTACAAGACCATCAAACGCATGTTGATCTTTCGTTTCAATAAATAATTCGATCTAATTTCGATGCAGTTTTTTTAAGTATTGAAATTTTCCGACGCTTTTTTTAGAGATCCTTTTTGTAAAATAAATTTACTTTCAATAGTACCATTGCAAGTTGAGCCGGACAATCAAAAGTGGCCCAATTTCAAGCCTTGGTATGGTATGTGGGTTAAGAGAGGACGAAAATGGGCATCTACAACTGTTCTTGTTCAATATTATTATTTGATAATAAACAAAAATACTACTATTAGTCATATTTCTAGGGTGGATTGTAATAAGACCGGAACTCAAAAGGAAAAAAAATTTTTACTTGTAATTGAATATTTCTTGATTCCTTATTATCAACAGCCACAAGAATACGTCCATATTGTTCGGATTTAACACGTAACATAATCATACCATGAACTTCTAAATTTTCTAAGCCACCATCACGACCACAACGTACAGTTAATTTTTCTTCTTGTTTTAAATGAACTCTAAAGAAAAATAAAAAGATTTTCCAAATAAACAAACTTTGTTTCATGACACTTACTCTCCTTTTTCATTTTCTGGTAAAGATACACTTTGTGTTTTATGTTTAGCAACTGCTCCACCAGCCCCTGATGTTACCGGAACAGTATTGACGACGATTTCACCTTCCGATTTAAGTTGATCAACAAATGTTTCAACATTTTTTCCTTTTGTACCTAATTTCATGGCTTTGCCTGTTGTACTTGGGCGAATAGCCGATCTATAAAAAAAAAATGCCAACCAGATCGTTATCGACAATTTTCCTGATGTTGAATAATAAAAATAAATACATACGTTGTACTACTCGTTGGATAAGTTACTGGTGTTGGTGTTATATCAGGTTTATTATCCGTTGATGAACTGCTATACATATTTGATGATATGCCAGTTGAACTTCCATAGGATTTCGAACCACCAGCACGTTGTGCACGTTTTTGTAAATCAAGTTCTTTGGCTCTTTGCTTCATTCGATCTTTTGCTTCTCGTTCTTGACACTAAATGGATAAAAAATGTTTTTTTTTTTAATATTAAAAAAAAAAAAAAAAAATGCAAACCTGTCTCATAGCATCATGCACACGTTCATCATGTGAATCCATTTCAGTATATGTACGAATTTGTGCTAAATTAACATTTTCTTTATAACCTAATGCAACTATTTCATCAAATGCAGATAATAATTCAAAAGCATGTTCGAAGACTTCTTTTTCATCAACTGTTTTACAATATTCTGGAATCTATATAACAATGACAAAAAATGAAAAAAGATTTAAGATTTTTCTCTTGTTTTCTAGATTAATAAATAATTACCACTCGAGAAAAAAGTCTTAAAGTTTCAAGATCTTCAAGTATATTGCTTGCTTTTGTAGTTAATAAGACCATATAAAGTTTATCAAATGGTTGATAAACATAACGAACAGTATCCGTTTCAACAAATGTATGTTGTTTACCTGCACCAATTAATTTTGGAAATGAAGCAAGTAAACCTTCAATACGTGATCGAGTCATTTCCACAAATTGTCGTGAGACAAGTGCTATTGAGAATTCAAAAAATTAGTTTTTATTAAAAAAAAGAAACGCAAATGATAGAGAATTTACGTTTGCCAGCTTTAGTACAAATTGATGCAGCAAGTAGGACCATGGTGATTGAATAATCTAAAATATGTATATGTATATCATATTAAAAAAAAAGTCGCGTTGGCATGTTTATTGTTGTTGTTTTTTTTACTGTGATCTATCGGTCGACTTCAGGTATTCGAGAAAGAATCAGCCAATCAGCAACAAGTCAATACTCGATCCATCTATCCATCGAGCTATTCCAACTAAACTAAAGGATGACGAAACCATCCGCCATATTTTTTGTTTCGTCTTTATTTTAGTCATTCAAATACAAAAATATTTTGATTTTTTTGAAATACTCTATGAATAATGTTCTACAAATAATTTCGATTACCTTAATATTATATTCCTAACAAAGAATAAAAAATATTGAGGATAATAATAAGGATCAACGAATTCTTAGGCTACTACATCACAGATGATAGTTTTTCTTCACTAAGAAGGTAATTTTCTTTGGAATGTTTATACTATTGACATTCATTTTTTCTGTTGTACCTGAAACTGCAGTCGAAATTGATGAAATGCAAAACAAAACTGTCAGAGTTGGTCAAAATTTCGCTTTTTTTCTTAACAATTTCAAGTTTTTGAGACCTGTATCTTGCATGAGACCAAGCTTAGGAATAGCTTCAGAAGGAGCGTTTAAAATAGAGTACCATTGGCATAAAGAATCTGTCGGACTCCGGTAATTGTCCATACTAAACATGCATTTTTGTAAGCAAGGCTAAACTATTTCCTTGAATTTCTAACCAAAGTTTAGAATATTTTAACTAGCGAGAATTACCAGACTCCTAGCGTTCTTGGGTGTGCGCTTGTGTGAGAGTATGTGTGCGAGTCTACAGTTCAACACTACTCCACAGACACTTTTCCAAGATAAATGTCGAAATACTGGAAGTGCCTTAATAAGTCTGTTTTCTTTTCAGAAGGACTCATCTTGTAAAATCTGCCAAAAATTAGCACAATAATATTTTTTGAAATAAAAGAAAAATAGTAGGCACCTAAAATAATTCCAAACATATGTGAAACAAGTTTTAGTCTATCGAATATAATTTGACGAGAAACAGAGACGATTCGGCACTTTTTTAAAACAAAAAAAGACACGGTTCTCACAAAATACATAATACCATGAAACATATTTTTTTTCTCTAAATCATGAGTTTTATTATACCCACTAAAGTGATCAAAAATTCACTTTTTGTATTGATTTGAGGAGTTCATGACTGACGTTTGAAGCATTTTGGAACACAAAGTAACAATTGTCAAGCAAAGCTTAGATATACAATGAAATGACCAGAGCAAGGTCTTTTTTGTACTAGTGATTTAGAAAGTTGGGCTCAATAAATATACTAACTAACAATAGAGACTAGTTTTTTCAAATGGCACTCCATAAAGAACATCTAGCGCCTGTATTACCGATACAGAAACCAAATAGAACAACTTGAGCTTTCTATTCAGGAAAGAGGGGTATCGTACGCTTTAGTTTTACATTAGTTTCAGGTCATTGTTTAGAAAGTTTATTCATAGTTGCCTAGTCCTATTACTATCAGAAATAAAGCTTGTAACAAAATATGAAAACTAGCCTCATGGACTATCGCGTGAGTACGTTAGACAATCATTTCAAGATGTGTTCAAAAAAAGTGAATTCCAATGGACTCAGAATTTAGCTTTCTCTAAAGAAAATCTAAAGTAAAAGCGTACTATAGTCATAGAACTTTCTTTTCTGCACGTCCGTTGTCACACACCTATTCAATGCAACAAAATTTATCATACATGTAAAACGTAAATGTTGAAAAGAATTCGTCAATCGTTACTAACCGTTTGTATCTGCGTCGCAGCATAAGGGCACGTAGTGCCTTTCGAAGAGCCACGATCCATACTCGTCTCTGTATGTACAGTAATGTCTTTCTTTATTTTATGCTTTGATTGTACTGAAAAGGATGTAAATATAAACGGACTAGACAAATAAGGACATTTTTTAATCTTGTCCAGTCGAAACGATAAATCGGATGAACTCCTTGATCGATGTCGAACGAACAGCGTCGACTTGAAACCAGAATATGTGACGATTGAATAGAAAAATATACTCACTAAATCATGCATATACAGAAGAATTCATTATCAAGTCGAGTCAATAGACTGACACTTGATAAAAAATAGTTATGATTGACAACGAACAACGCTATGTTTTTATTTTAGAGATATACAGAGTTGGTGTCAATATTTGAGATGTGATGAAAACGGTTCTATGTTGATACTATCAACGACATTCTTTCGATTCGGCTTATGCCCAAAGAACTATGATTTAATCTTGTTCTTCTTTTCAACACATACAATATCAAACAAGCTTTTTTCATAAATATTCACGTAATCAATAACATAGAACATCATCCTATGCCATATATTTTCTAAGCTAGAGAGGTGTAATTTATTTATCTCATCCGTCATATTTCCTTTCCACATAAGCGCATTGTATGTATGTCTATAGACAAACGATTTAGTTCTGTACATCAAATCAAGATGAACGCTAGTGTTTCCATCTGTTTTGTGGTTCTATTTTGATTTTTTGGCCAACTTCCATGAAAAAAAAGAGCATCGACTAGCCAATTCCATTGTATAAGATTGAACGAGATCTACATCAGTTCAAAAACCATCTCAATCAAGTTGTCTTGAAACTTCCACCCTTAGCGAAGAGAAATGCTAAAGTGATTTGTAACGTCAGAAAGTTCTTTCGTAAGCAAGAATTCAATTACGTCGGTGATGAGATGCCTGCAAGAAGGATGACATGCTATGTATCCATTCACACAACGTCCCTGCAAATGTTATTCACGAATACAAACAATAGAGAAATCACTGGAAATGTACATGATATATGAACTATGAAACAAAATATTTACAAGTACAGACATTCTTGCTGCCATTAATTTTACAAAGAAACAGAAAACACATTTTTGCAATTCTAAAACTGTACTCGACATCGAGACATTTGTGATTTGTAATTTATTTGTGAACAACATTGTGACAAGTCCAATGATATCATGCCAGCGAAAGATTCTTCAAGGCTTGCGCACTGAGAAGAGTCTATATAACAAGTATTTATACATGAACAAATTGGTAGTGGATTGATTTAACAACGTGTCCTATTCAATCCAAGGAAGAGGACAAATAATGTATCAATTTTAATGCGTTCTGCTTGTATTGGTAGCTATTTACTAATAGAAAATACTGTAGCGACCAACACATTGCATAAATCAATGTTATAGTTCAACTTATTTGTACGTCAATGTTGCCTATTGTTTTTCTTTACTCATCATTCTCAATACAGAGCTGTTAAATTTCTGGTCTCTAGTTTTCGTCCAGAGCTGCGACTTTTTTTCCTGCAATTGACTCGATTCTCTACTAAGGTTCACATTTAGGATATGCTAAAGTTGTCTTTTATATCCCTTTAGGTTTTTCTTCTTGCGTATTAGTAGTTGCTGCTCTGTTATTGAATTCTCTTTCATCATTTCTGGTTTGTTCTCATGATTCGATGTAAACTGTTGGGTAAGAAAGTGCATTGTATCGCTTTTCTACTTTTCTCTTTGCTGCATCATAATTGTTATATTACACTTTCCTAATCTGTTGCTTTTCATTTAGTTTTTTATTCATAATTCATTGATGCATAGTGTTGATGTATTTCTTTTTCTTAAAAAAAACAAGCTTATTGATATGATGAATAACGAATAAATTAGATAATTCTCTCAAGAACTTTTCAAAAAAAAATAGAGTAGCATTTATCACTCGATCTTTGAACTCAAGTATTAAAAGAGATGATGATAGTGAAAACGAGGTGAATTCTGAATGCTCAAGACAAAAATACATTAGTCAGAATAAAAAAGATAATCATATTTTTGATATCAATTATCTAGCAAATAAGTACTCATATTGATTGTTGAATGAAAAACAATATGATTGTTAACAGAACAATAGTGTCATCCTTTTTTCACAATAAGTTTAGCGCAAAAATACTTATCAGAGAAAGTCATTTTCATTTTATTTTTGATTGAAAATCACTATGAATTCTTAGTTCAACTATAAAAGTATTATTTGTTGGCTTTGTTTTTATGATTCCAATTTTCATGTTAAAGCTGTTTTCATTTTAAACATTTTTAAAGGTTAAAGTAGGTAGCTTTTGTTTTTCTTACAAAATGTTTCAAAAAAGAGAATTTTCAGGTGGGTTTATTATCTTATTCTTGGTTTCGACTTATCTGATTTAAATAAAGTTGATGCGCACTACGTATATGACTATTTTTCAGGTTAGAACACGAAAAAGACAGGATATCAGCAACATTAGGTATCTATGTTCGTACTTTGAAGTTTCAAATAGCAGCATTTCGTCACTGCAAACCATTGAATACAATTAAAATATATGTATTTCCAATATTTTTTCTTATTGTGAATTTGAATAATCTATTCATCAGGATGAAGTGAAAAATATCGTAGTAAAATTAGTTTCACGCAAATATTTCTAATCAAAAACTTGTTACGATCGTGATAATTTAACCACTGAAACACATACATCAGCATGAATTTGTTGTTTATTTTTCTCGTTGACGAAAAAAAAGAGCCTACCGGTGTATCAAAAGGCAGTAAACATGTCTCTTGATTTTTACCATAAAAACAATTAATTAATCTAATTTGTTTTCTGATCGACAAACATGATAAATGAATGAAAAGAAATATACATGAAGAACGAAAACTAAAATATACCATATTCATTTTGCTATTGGACTAGTTGACAGCAACTACCTAAATAAGTAATTTCACCTGAGCGCTCGTTCTTTAATTGTTTTTAGCTATAAAAAAAGAAAAAAATCATTTAGAAAAAAAAGCCCGTCGCTTTCATATTAAATCGTTTTTCAATAATCAGCCTCATTGATTCGACATTTAATCAATCAGTGATGTTGTTCGTAACAATAACAATCATCACAATGAATAATTAACCCGTTATAACTTTTCCGTTTTAAATATTCGAAAATTATTTATTCAAAACATCGCTCTTCTGAGGCTTTCTTATCACTCGACCAATCAAATATATGAGTAAGATATTTATAGTTCATTAAATTGCTAATGAACCTATATCTATTTACACTCACTGCTATATAATCGAAGTATGTACGAAAGCAAAGCCTTTATTTATTTATTTTTGATATATATTTAAATTGAGTTAGTGTACAACTTCAACTATAACAAATTACAGTATTGGTTTGTAATAGATAGCATCTTTTAATTAGAAATTTTGCCATTTAATTTTCCACTTTTCATGTAAACACAGAAAGAATCCTTCCATCATATTTTGAGTCTAACGAATGTCAATGCTGCATATATATCATGAAAATAATATTTAACTACATAGATTCGATCTTTGTTGAGAATTTAAATACAAAAAATATCAAGATTTTATATTTTTTTTAATAGTTTGGTAGAAAAATTCGACAGCGATTTTAGTTCAAACCCACTACAAACATAATCATGCTTGGAAAACAAGCTTTAAGTATTGGTATTAACGCTTATGTACCACGACGTTTCACCTTAGAACCGTGTCTTAATGATGCAGGTGATATGACTCTGGCTTTACGTTTACTTGGATTTCATGCACATTTTGCGAAAGATCTTAGCTATAAATCAATGAAATCCCTAACTCATCAATTTATCAATTCGATTCAACCAGGTGCTATTGTTGTATTCTATTTCTCTGGTCACGCTTGTCAATTTGATGGTAACAATTATATAATGCCAACGAATGTTACTGGAGTTTGGGCGGGTAATGTCAACTCACATGCAATCGATGTTCAAAAACTCATTAATTCAATGCATAAAAGACGTCCAAGAGTTGTTATATGTATTCTCGATTGTTGTCGAACAGATGCACCGTCAGAGCCGGTTGACCAAATGAGTCCCTTTAGTAGAACCTTCTATGGAATGAAAATAGGTCTTGCACCAATGCAAGCTCCACCAGCAACAATCATTGCTTATGCTTGTGCGGCCAATGATGTAGCTTCAGCTGATTCAATCTATGGTCGAAATAGCTTATATACTTCTCATTTACTTCGTTATATCACAACACCAAATGTCGATATTGAAACTCTTTTAAAATGCGTTGGTATAGACGTGCAAAAAGAATCTGAAAATCAACAAATACCCTATCGATATAGTAGTTGTAACGAAGCAATCTATCTTACAGCACCAAATACATACAAGGCGATGATGCCATCTCAAGATATGCACAGAAGACCTATTGTCCGTAAGTCACTCTCGATGAATCCATTGTAGATATACTTATTTTGAATGCATATTTAGAATCATTGAATGGAAAACGAGTAAAATCACTCCCTACTAAACATTCAAAACCGCAACTCAAAAACTTTCACAATCAGTGGAATAATCGACATGGTGTTCAACATTTACAACCGCAACTTAAACATTTCGACAACCAGTTCAATCATCGATATAATATGCAAAGGAATCATCATTTAGTAGACAGAACTCCATCGAAACCTATGACAAGAGTTCCTTGGCACTCTGGTTCTCTGTTTTCTCGACATTTATGGTATCATCAATGATTAGAGCTCGCTGAAGAAAAGAAAAACAGATCGTTTATTAAAAATACTAGTATTCAAGACACGTTTATTGCCTAAAATAAACAAAACTCTATTCAAATCAATTTAATAAAATAAACTAAACTAATTTCTAACCAATTGTTCTATTTCATACATTTAGCAACATAAGAAGCTTTTTCTCATGTATAATTTCATGAAAAGATAAATGCACCAACGATATAATTGAAGATCAATGTCATGTTCTCATAATACCATTTTACCGAGCAGTACGCAAGAACATTATTAAATGCTAATAATAGTGCCATTAATACATAGTTAGTTTTGACTCGATTTGATATTTCAGAAACTGAATTGGAACCTTTTTTCATTGTGAGTAGCCGAGACGATTGTTTTGAGTAAGTTTTGGAGCCGTAGAATTTCAGTTGTTAGGCGAAAACAGAAGTGCATTATCTAGTACAAATTAGAGATGTATCAGGCTCCGTGGATAGTATTCTGTTAAGGACTATGTTCTAAATATAATTCCATTTACATTTTCGATCTATTCTTAAAAGTGAGCTCAAAGAAAGTTAAAACGAATAATTGAAAATAATAACATACTGATTTATAGATAATTCATATTGCATTGATTACTTAGTTTTTACATATATGTTAGGGTTTAAAGTCAGACTCTATTCAGTCTTAGATCCATCTAGGTCAAACTCAAATTATAGTATAAGGTTAGTTCATTTGGCATGAAGATCTTAGTTAAATCCAAAAAATATATCGAATAAAAACTGAAATAGAAAATGTGCATGAAATTGAATCTCTGTTCATCCTAAAACATGTATCGAAAAAGTTTAAGATTGGTCGTTTTAAAGTTGGAATCCATAATCGGCCTACGACAATGTGAGATCCGTGTAAAATGATCAAGTGAATCTTAGATTTGACGATAACATATACAGTAATATTTATCATGAACCTCGTATAAAGATGTGCAAGTTCAATTTTTTTCTGTGTACCGAGTCTATTTCGGTTGTTATCTCTAGAAAATTATTATTCTCTCGTGACGTCTCTCATAATTGATATCCACACCAGAATAAAAGAAGAACGGCTGTAAGCTCAATAACTCATTATCGATAACAGCTATCGACTTGAAGTTTTTAGTAATCAAAAGATGCAAAACCCCCGACATTTTTTTATTTGATACTATGTAAGTAAATATTATTTTAAAAGTGATTATCTCTACAAAACATTTAAAATAATACATGAAAACGATGCTATACATAGGGGTATCCAAAAGTAGTGGCAACGACATTTTAGTACCACATATTAAGCTTGATAAAAGTTTCTTTTTACATAGGATGATAGAGAAAAAAATGCTCTTTCTTTCTATGCTATTTGATTATACTTCACCTAATGTTATAGTAATAAAGTTTCAACAAGACCTGTTTTTCTAACATATGTGACGGTTATACAAATGCCTATCCAGTGGATGTTTTTTGGATAACTTTTCACAGAAACAAGATAGAAAGCTGCGGTTTTTATCATTCGAAAGAGGAAACGAAGATGCATCGAATCATATAGTAAAGGTTTGCTGACATGACTTTTAAGAGTTTTCAATTGACCTCTCTAAGAACAAACCTACTCTATAAGGTGTTTACAGCAAATTCTCAATTGTCAGCAGTGTATTCAAACCGCTGCTGGAAGATCTACACAACTGCAGAAGGATCAGGTATTTTGGATTAATCATTCTGGAGTTATGGCTAATCCAGTCAAAGCTCTACGTGATTTTTCTAGCAATTTCTGTGAAGAAATAAAAAACCATCTTTTTCGATACTTAGAAAATTGATTGACGAAGCTTCATATAATGCCTAAGAAGACGTATAATATGCAGTCCGATGCATTTTCACCTCCGCTTTTGAACGATGAAAACCGCAGCTCTCTATCTTGTTTCTATAAAAAGTGATTCAAACCACACAGTATAACCGTCACATATGTTAGAAAAACAGGTCTTATTGAAACTTTATTACTATAACATTAGGTGAAGTATGATCAAATAGCATAGAAAGAAAGAGCATTTTTTTCTCTATCATCCTATGTAAAAAGAAACTTTTATCAAGCTTAATATGTGGTGCTAAAATGTCATTGCCACTACTTTTGGATACCCCTATGTATTTCGATGTAATTTTGATTTTGACATGTGTTTCAGATAGAAAAACTTCAGATCTATAGTACAAATTCTGTTCATTTTTTGAAAATTTTCTGCTTTTTTTATGAAAACTTCCTTGAAAGGAAACACTGTTGAACATTTTGTGAAGATGATGTGTTTTAACATAGTTTAATGTTATATGGTAATAGATAAAAGCATGTTCGGCATTCTGCTCTTCCGATTGCTATTGCTGTTATCAAGTTATGAAGTTTATACTCATACTTCCATAAATCCAAGGGGAAAAGTGTAGGCACCCAGCATCCTAGCACCTCAGCACCTGTTCGTCACCTTTATCGAATTTACTATGAGCACCTTCGGCACCTTCAGCACCTTCAACCATTTTTTCACTATCTTAAGTACTTTTCAGCACCTTGCGAGAAAATTTAAAGGGCAGAGCCTAGGCAATAAATTTTATCCCAAGGTGCTGAAAAAGTACGTAAGGTAGTGAAAAAATGGTTGAAGGTACTGAAGGTGCTCATAGTAAATTCGATAAAGGTGTCGAACAGGTGCTGTAGGTGCTGACTAGGTGCCGAAAGTGCGGAACAGGTGCTGAGGTATCAGGGTGCTGGGTGCCTGCACTTACCCCCTTGCATAAATCTGAGTCGAACATTAGAATAAATTCAGATATATCTATGTGATAGCAAATGATTCAATTCTATTCTGATTTTTCTGGTCCTAGAAAAACATTACCTGCTCTTTCTAACTGTCTTGACAGAAAACTATATTCTTGAATTAGGTATTAATCGATAGAATATGAAGTACATAGGAATATGAATCAAGATAATACATTTACAAACCATTTGTATTTTTAATAAAGTTCCGTATTTTATAAATACAGTGTCACAGAATTCACTAGTAACCGAAGATCGCGATGTTTTTAAATTATTAAACGTTCTATGCTGTTCTTGTTAATAAATACACATATATTTGAAGTCATCATTGAGTTCTTAACTGAATGGAGTATTTAGAATATCAAAACTCTGCATTTGACTTTTCTCAGATCGAAAAAGTTGAGAAATATTTTCTCCTTGGATTCGAATGAAAAATACATCAGTTGATGCAGAATTTGACTTTGATGATAAATATCTGGTTGATTTTGGTTTCTAACGCCTTTATTATGAGCTAAAGTACGATTTTCGGAAAAATATGAAATACCGTAATGAACAATATCTTTTACTTTTTTGTTCCATATTATTACGTTTGTTAAGCAATTTGCTGATATTCTGAAAGTTTGTTTAAAATTCAACCTGCGTACGTTCTTGCATTTCGCAATGAAATGTTAAACTCTGAGCTTCTCTAAAAATAATTTTCTTTTATCCCTACTTTTTTCTTATCGATAAATCCCTACGATAGTCATAAGATTTTTTATTCTTTGTCATGAATTAACCGTCAACGAGCGACAATAAAGATCAATGAACGATAGATGACGTTGTGTTTATGATTCCATACTTAACATACAATCCCTATCGTCACTTGTTTGTTTGTATTTGTTTACCTGCTTCTTTCTTGTGATCAATTAGTTGCTGATTACAACTTTTTTTATAAGACAACAAATCAAATAAATGACTTTCATTTTAACCTCCTTTCTGGATGTATATTTTGTTTATGTTATTCTTGCGTAATTTTGTACTTTCATTCTCATAAATAAATACTCTGTTTATTTGTCTTTTTTCTACATTATTTTTTTTTGATTTTTTTCTAGAAATACAAAACGATCTATTGATATAACATGGGTATCCTTAAAAATTTCGAAGGTGATGAAAATGAACATGTCAATTCTATTTCACATGTTGATACTTTGATAAATACAAATCATTTGAAGTAAATAATTTTGTCTATTGATAACATTGATAATATGGCGACTTTTTTTTAAATTTTATTAGTGATGCAACATCATCAAGTGAGGATGAAGAAACGCATGAAAATACAATTGTACCAGTTCCAGCAACTATTTCGACTGTTCCACTTACATCTAATCGAACGCCTAAGATAAAAAAAACTACATCAAAAATTCCAAAACCAATATTACAAGTAAAAAATATTGGTGGTAAAAAATCTCAAGGACATCGACAAGCAAGACGACATGAAAATAGTTTGTTTATTATTCAGAAATTTTAATTAAACGATTGCTGTTAATTTTAGTGTGCTTTTTACTTAATCTTGCAAAAGATTTAGATGAAGATTTTGCTGAAGTCAATATAAATGATCTTGTTGAAACAACAATATCAGCATTTGCGCAACTTTTATTAAGTAAAAATAAAATGAAGGTAGATTACGTTATTTTAGATAGACAATATTTATTATTATTATTATTATTATTTTTTACCCATTATAGTTTATCTTTCCCTTACCTAGAGGTTCTCTCTAATCAAGGGTTTTGTTCTTTTAAAAATTTTGATAAGAAAACACAGCAGTTCATTTTATTCAGCATTCGCCTCTGGATAGAACGACTGTAAATCTATCGAATCATGGAAATCCATGCGGATTAATTCTTTTCAATAATAAAAAAAAGATACAAAACAAAAGTAGTTATGCTGTTTTATTATTTTCATTTGTCAGTTAGTGTAAGTAGAATTAACTTTGTTTTCGCTCATTGGCAAAAGTTTTTTGTTTTTTTTTGCGAAAAAATAATTCACTTAATTTACAATTAGAGAATGTCACATGTTTAGTTAATTAGTAGTTTCTTTTTCATAAATATTATTTCGTTTATTTATGAATTAGATTTGGAATGAATTTGTTGAATTACCTGAAAGTCAACAAGAACATATTGTTAAAATGGCGACAAATAAAAAAAGAGTAAAAAAGTTTCGTCGAGAAAAAAATAAAAAAAGATTTAATAATGATACAACATCAATTAGTTGCAGTAGTGACGATAATTTCGAAACATTTGTTCTTATTGAAAATCATACAACAATGAATAATCAAGAGTCTATTGATCCATCATATCGACAAGGTATTTTAATATATGGATGGCTAGAAAGTTTTTTAGACAAGATTTTTGTTCATGTTACTTCGATTTAAATAAGTCAAAGAGTATAGGTCGCGCCCAGAATTTCAATATGGATTTTTTAAATTGTTATGTCTATTGTTATTGAAAAGTAGTGAGGGATTTTTTGGAAGACCTGAAAAATTACTTTTTAAAATGGTTTTTTCGTAGTGGACATTTCTCTAGAAAACGTGATATTGAACTAACGATCGAAACAAGGCTGGCCCGACTGGGGGTTGTGACAACCCCCCAATAATCGAAAATTTTCGTTTTTCCCCAGCGAAAATGAAATTTTTTTCTTGAGTTCTATCAGAAAAAAATTTTATTCGCATTACAAAAATCCGGAATAACCCCGAAAAAAACGTGGCAACCCTCCAATGTTTGCTGACTCGGGCCAGCCCTGCGAGGAAACCTCTTCAGTTGCCTTCTTTCGCTTGCAATAATTTTCTGTCCATAAATTCCAGATGATGTTCTAATAAAAATTCCAAAACGGTTTAGAGTTTTTATTAGAACATTATATAGTATCTGTAGGCAAAAAGAATATTGACATTGGAAAGAGGGAGCTGAAAAGGTTCTTTGACAAGCTGTAGTTTTTACTTAAGTGAAGCTACAGGCGTTTTTTCAAGAGTTCTTTTCAACGTAAAATGATTGTCAATTTTTCAATAATGAGTATTTGAAGAAAACGAAAATTGAAGTGTCTTATCGAAAGACAAGAAAAAAGGTTTCAAATAGTGCATTTTTTAGAGTACGTTCTGATATAGAAGCCGAGATATAATTAGAGCTCCTAGTTTTTAGTTTCGAATTATACTAGTGAAAATACAACATTTTTTGAGACTTTCAAAGATTATTCTATTTGTCTTGAAAACAAATCTGAGATAAAATTTCAAAGCCGATATTCGAAAAGAGTGCTAAGTTTTGATCCTAATTCATAACTTTTAATACTTTCTAGTGGATCAAAAGTGAACAAACATCTTGTCTAAAAACTTTCCGATTATCCTTAAATCTCCTTTAATCAATAATAATTTTGTTTTTTTCTTGTAGAAGAAGCTGATAAATGTTTTCAACGTATTGATCCGAATATTCGTTATACATTAAAAAGTATGCTCAAACGACATCATTTACCATTGGTAAATATTGTAATTTGTATGTTTATAAAAGAGAAAAAAAACCTGAATATATTTAGGATCGTATAAGTTGTTTTGAAGATGATGTAATACCATTTTTTAAAGAACATTCTGATTCAGTTTATTTACGAGATTTAAATAATGGTTTTGATCGTATGTTACTTCATGCTGTCTGTCAATATTTAAATTTGATTTCAAAAAGTAGAAATCAATATTTGTGTTATTCATACATAAAAGATAATTTAATTTTTCTTTCTTTTTTTTTGAAAGGTTTTACTCAAGATGGCGAAAGATATATTCAAGTTGAAAATCGCCGTAATACATTCGTTCCGCCGATAATATTACTTTCGAAATATATTATGTTACTCGATGGAACGACGAAAAACGATTTGTAATTTTTTTGTGTACATGTTTTCGAATATTTTAATCATGCTTAGAAAACCTTGTTTTCTTTTTTTCCCTTGTGTATCTATAATACCCTCCTTAGGCCTTGTACACACTGAATAAAATAATGCTGCATTAACCAATGAGATTGTTAGAAAAGTTAAATCAGAGTTAAGTCATCTTTTCGAGATGACTTAACACTAATTCATCAATCACATATGAAAGGTATCTCGCCAATAACAAAACACTCGTGTCGACGCACATTTTCACATATTTTTTGTGAGGACATATCAACATGAGAAATGGACCTCTTGATTTTTTTCGACGTCCAAATGAATATCGTTGCTTTTACTGATTATGTATAGTCATATTTTATTTAGAAACAAGAAATTCTTATTTTCTTCATTCATTTTAACAATGAAACCACAATACATACGCTTGGTCATGTCGTCCAACAACAATCCTCAAATTAATGGTTCACCACAAAATACACCTGCAGTTAGAACTGTACAACAATTACTACATCAGCAAAACTCATTGTCTTCTTTTCAAGTACTGAAAAAAATTGAATCTTCAGTTTCTACATTACCAACTCGCATTGTTATAACTTCACGACCTACAACATTTCATTATTCTAATGAAACAATACCACAACAAAGTGATAAATCAAACGTTGAATTACCAGTTATTGAAACATTTTCAAATTCACCATCTTCTCTCGATGTACCAGTAACTACATCCAAAACTATCGAAGCACCTTCAACAACAAGTGCTTGTAAGTTGATTAATTCAAGCATCTCTTTTTTTCAATTTTACATATAATTTAATATTTGTCTAAAAAAAACAAAAATATTTTTTTCTAGTAAATAAATTATTCCTCAAAAGGCAGATAAGAAGTTTCGAGTTAGGCATTTACTAGTGCTATAAATGCATTTGAAAATTTATTTGGTTTAGGTTTTAATTCATCAACATCAATTATGAAGTCAACATCATCGAATACCAAACTAAAGAGACATCAATCAGCATGTGTTGAATCAACACAACATATTACAAAGAAAATAAAGAAAAGAAAAAGAAAAATGATGAAATAGGTAAAATAGTTTCAATAAATGTAATCAATTAATTTTTTTTAGAATCCAAAGTAGTTAAGCGTGCAAGAAACTGAAGTGAGAGTGAAACATTAACATTTATTGGAATATGGAATGATTATTACTCGAGATTGAACAGTGGTGGTCAAAGAAATTCTTCGATCTACAAGTTGATGGCAATCGAACTAAACTCAATATTAAAAGATCGATGCCTAAACGGTTTTGAAGTTAAAAGTAAAATTTCTAATCTTACAATGGAATATAGAAAAAAGAAAAAAGAACAAGGAAAAACGGGGGCCAGTCCATCACCATGGCCGTACTTTGATGCAATCGATAAATTACTTGGTAAGCCTAACTTGCTGATTAATATTTAAAACAATATGTTTAGGAACTTTGTCTATATATAGAAAAGAGTAGTTATTATACAAAAAAAACTTTGAAAAAAATATTTTAAAAACTTTTATGTTTATATTTTTTAGGACAGAGGCCATACAATGATGATTCTCTTCTATCTGATTCCATAGTGACTGATGAAACACAGTCAGAAGATATACAAGATATTGTACCATGTGATTTAAATGCAACTCAAGTGTCTGAACAAGTGAATGATTGTATAACAATCAGCAATACTAAAGAAGCATATGATTCTCATCTTGGCAATTCAAATAATTTATCAACACCTTCTGGTAATTGCACAATTGCATCTGAAAGTATAGAGAAGAAAAAATGCCACAAAGATAAGAATTCAAAAAAAAAAACGAATGTCCGAAATAAAGTAATAATAACCTGAGTATATATTGACATAAATATTTTTTTTATTATAGAGTTGATCTTATGCAAGAACTTCTCGGTAAAATTGAAGATGCAAGTGAGATTGCATATCGATCTGAAGTGAAGATAATAGAGTTGCTTGAGAAGCAAACCAGGTTACAAGAAGAAGATATGAAAACAGAAAGAGAATTCTTAGATGTTTTTAAGAGCATTGTAAACAATGTAAGTTCAAATCGTTAAAAGTTCATCAAAGTGTTATTTATTTATCTGCCTTAAATAGTCTTTCACAGATACTCATTCATTGGACGCTAGTCTATACTTTTTTGTCTGATGATCATTTTGTGGAAATTGTTTCGCTTTCTCCTTGTTAATACTTTTGTCAGACTAGTTCTTTTGGTTATTTCTGTGATTCATTTGTGATTTCTATTTGCCAATACTATAATAAAATTATTTATTTTTTGTTATTTATTTTTTATAACATATGCCTCACTACGTTTTAAAATACTATGAAGTTTAACAGTTTCTTAAAGAAGTAGCAGCTTCTTCAATGATGTTTTAAGGAATATTATTAGTAGGTTTTTTTTTGTAGATGAATCAAACAACTGCTGCCACTTTATTACATGTATATTTATCAAAAAAGAAAAGATTAAATAATGAAATAATTAGTATTCGTTCTGAATCTCAACGTTTATTACGTAAACTTTGGCGTTATCTAAATCTTCAAAATACACTTGTTACAGTTTTATTATTGTTAATGAATAATTCATTTCAAATTAATCGTCGTGGTGCATGATGCCTAAAGAAATGTGATCGGTGGTGGAAGGAAGTGGTACCGGTGATGACAAATAAACAATTTAAAGAAAACTTTCGTCTAGAACGACGTACATTTTCGGCCCTTCTAAATCAAATCGGTTCATATTTACAGAAAAATGATACAAATGTTCGAGTATGTATTCCTGTTGAAAAAAATTTTGTTGCGCTTTGTATACACTTGGTTCAAGTTCAGAGTTTAGAACTGTAGCAAATCTATTTGGGTTAGGAAAGAGTACCGTTGGTCAGATACTTCATGAATTTTGTGCCGTACTGATTGAATTGTTTTTTTTTCGTCTGATAAAATTTCCGGGCAATAGTCAAGCAATTGAAGAAACTGTAAATGGTTTCTTAAATAATTTCGAGTACCCGATGTGTGTTAGAGCCTTAGACGGCACACATATTATCGTACAGCCACCGGTCGGACTTGAAACTGATTATTATAACTATAAAAAGTTTCATTCGATCATCATGCTAGCTGCTGTAAATGCTGATCTAAGATTCATATACGTCAACGTCGGTGCACCCGGCAGATGCAACGACGCCTCCGTATATACGAGATCGACTTTGTCTGATGTGATCCAGAATTCGATTTATGAAAATCATTTCATGATGATAAATGGTACTAAAGTACAATGCCACTTAATAGCAGATTCTGCATTTGCTCTGGATCACACGTTGATTAAGCTTTTTGCAGAACGTGTTGATATGCGAAGGGATTACAGCTTGTTCAATTATCGTTTGAGTAGACCTCGATGTAGTATCGAGCGTGCTTTTGGCATGTTGAAAAATTGATTCAGGCTTCTCAATAAGAAAATAGAATTTGACATTAGCAACACTATAAATGTGATTAAAGCAGCAGCAATATTACACAATATGTGTGTTGCTAGTGGAGATGGTGAAGAAATCGAGTGGAACACGTCGCACCCGGTTCATAAAAAGCCGGTTTATAATATAGCAACAGCAGCAGGAGTTGATGTAAGAGAAGCACTAGTTCACTATTTTTTGCAAAATCCAATCTAAGTTTTTTCTCATAAAAAATCATTTTCATTTGTTATTTTTTTATTAAAAATTATTGTATTTGTAAAAAGAAAATTAATTGTAAAAAAAGAAACCTATTTGTGATATAAATTATAGCTTCTTGTTGAAACAAATTGTAAAAAAGTTATTGTTTGTCAAAAAAATACTTGTAAAAGAATTGTTTTTTTCTTGTTGTTGTCGACGTTTTTTTTTCATCAACATATGACTGTTTATGGCATATATTTTCTTTTGTGAAAAAACAATTTTCTTTATTGTCATTTAATTTTTGTTTTTATAAATTATAATGTATCATTTTTTTGTGGTGAAAACTGCTGCTTCATCATACATATTTATCGATACTCTTTCTGTAAGAGTTTTTCTTCATGTAAGGTGCCAGTAATGCAAAATTTGAGCACTCCTTATTTTTAACTCAAATACGCATCACTAGATTCAGTTTTCTCTGCTGATTACGAATATGTCCTTATTTTTTTGATTTGGCAAAATTTTCGGGCAGAAAAATGCAAAATACTGAGGGGATGTCAAAATTTGCAAAAAA